CGAAAGACTGGGAGAGAACGCCAGAAAGTCCAGAAAGAGTGAAGATTCCCCAAGGAGTGGAAGGCCTGCCAGTCTCCTGGCCCCCAGGCCTCCCTGCCTGCCCTGCACCTGGTTGCCTTACTACGAATGGTGTAGAAAGGTCATTAAAAGCCTGAAAAGCCACCGAGGGCTCTAGGACTCTCCTTTATCCTGCCTGGATCATAGAAAACCTGCTCCGTGCCTTGCTGACACTACACCCAGACACCCTCCAAGGAAAGAAGAAAGAAGCCAAAACTCCTTCATAAACACCAGGTAGCTCCACTGCCACTGCCTGTAAGGAGCACCAAAGGCCCTCCGTGCCTGGCATCTCAAAGAGCTGTTGTTGGCTCAGGCCAATGACTCAGAGCTGTATCTGATCGTCCAGCACCAGCTTCCGGTGATGCTCCCTGGTCCATCCTGACCTTCAGGCTATGGCTGTGGGCTGCTGTGGTTGCCACCTGCTGTGGTGAGTTGGATCCTGGCCCTCTACTTGTGGGTGTCCCATGGTGCCATTTTGAGTGAGCAACCTTTTGTTTGAGACTTCTAGACACCTTGGACGCTAACTAGAGTGAGCTCCTCAGCCATTTGTAGCCTTAGACGCTCTTTGTTAGCCTTGTTTGTTAAATAAACCCCATTGGTATTGTTCCCTGTGCCTGAATGGTCTTAGAGTTGTGCATGTGGGTGAAAACCCACAGTGAACCTGTCTTCAGTTGGGCACTGTCTTTTGACCTGCTGTAGTACCCCTATAGCCCTGTTTTAAGTGACTACCAGTGAAACAGTATGAAGACATGCTATATGCAGTTTATAATACACACAGTACCCTGCATGATTATGTAGGTGGTAACCCTGGTAAAATATGACCCTCCCCTTGACCACAATTCCTTGACCCAGGAATTTATACATGATCTGAGAATTAAGAGAGACCAAGATACCATTTTTCTCTACTTGCTAAGACCCATAGTTTGACATTGTTCTTCCCTTCCTGGTATTTGGATATCCCATACCTGCCGAGATTCTCTGAGACACCCTCCTATCTTTCTGATAGACTATCTGTTGCTACAAAATGTAGCAAGATTCAGTAATTCAACTAGAGTCAGACAATGTAGATCACTGACTGAGAAAACCACTCTCAGCTCACAAGTGCATCCTCACACACATACCAGACTTGCGGAGTAGATCTATTACCTGTTCATTTTTTTTTCAAGACCCAGATCTACTGACTGAGGCAGAAGAATATGGGTTTTCACTTCCCAAATCCTGATCCCAACATTAACTGTCAAAAGAATTTCAGCACCTCAGTTTCTCACTTCAACATTGAGAGGATTAAAGGGGTTGAACATAGCCTAGTAAGCATTTTATCGAGCCAGTTATTATTACCTTGTGAAGTCATCTGGAATTTCTCCCATAAATTCTCTAAACCTCTACTTAATAAGATTACTTTTTTCTTTCCTGCTGCCACTCTCCTGAACTCTCCTCCATTAGATCTCCTATTACATTGCTTTATAATTATTTAGTTATGTATCCATTTCCTTTTCATACCTGCTTCAGGGACTAATTCCACTTTTACCTTAATACCCAGCTAGAACAATGCCAAATGATAAGGCCCAATAAATACATTTGAAAATAATTAATAATATTACTAAAAAAAAAAGCTGTTCAAAATTGTCTTGTTTGTAATTGTGAAATTTTCCTCTCCCATTTATTGAAACATTTTTCCATTTATTCATTCACAATTTGGTAAATATGTGGGTAGAAAATACTGTGTGGTATGTTCTGAGCAAATATAAAATGAATAACAATCTCTCCTCTAAAGCAGTTTGCAATCCAAAGGGGATAAAACAGGTACCCAAATTGCTGTAATATAAAGTGGAAGGTGATGGGTTTTATAATAGAGGCACTAGGAAATTGCCATAAGATCTGGAAGATGTAGTGATCATTTCAGGCTGCAAAGCTTGAAAAAGACTTCAAGGAGGAAGTGTATGTGTAGTTGTTCTTAGAAAAATGAGTATGTTTTCAATAGACTGAGAAAGTATTTTCCCAAAGGAGAAAGGTCTGCAGGTTAATGAATTTCTGCTAAGTATGACTGTTCCTGACACTTTTGTCTGTCAAATGGACTTTGAGGAATGCAACCACAGTCTTTGACTTGGGTTTGATAAAGAAAGAGGTCATGCCAAAAGATCTGTGATTGCTTAGGCTTTTATTCTTCCAATGAGTCACTTTAGCACTGCCTAAATCTGTCTGAATATTGAATGATTGGTCTGTTTTAGTTTCACTTGAAGCAGAAATTAATGTTGCAAAAAATAATTCTGCTATCCATTATGATAAAGGCTAATGGAACTGACAATCTCTGAGTTGTTTCCTCAATATTGGGTGTGGTTCTTTGCAGGAAAAATTTACTATCTGAGATTTTTTCTGTTTTGTTTTTGTTTTTGGAATATCATCCAACACAGTTAGTGAGTCTTACTATGTACTGAATTATACTAGCCATTGCTTTTATGTGGATCAAAAATACTGGCTCTAGATATAATATATGCCCAATTCTAATATGTAGTGTACAAATCCAAAGAGTGTAATTTTGTCAGTTTTGGCATATGTGTTTACCTGCTCATTTGATACCTCCATCAAGATGTAGATGATTTCCATCACCTAAGTATTGTTTCTTCCATGTATATCCCCATTTCACTTTAGAGAATGTACTCATCTGATTTATGATGGATTTACTCTGCTTAATCTAATATTTATTGGATTCCATTTATTGTGGAATCATACTGTACGCTTTCATACCTTAGTAAACTCTTATATTAGGAACTCTTTTTTATGGTTGCATATTATTCCCTGGTCTGAATAAAACACAGTTATTTTTGTAAGCTGTTTTCTGTTGTTGGGTAACTATTGATTTTCGTTTTTTGTTAGACTATAATTGCTATGTACATTCTTGTGCATTTTTTTTAGGTCATATAATTTCTTTTTGATAAATAGCTATAGTGCAATTATTGTGTCATCAAGTATGTTTAACTTCATGAGAAATTGCCAAAACTATTTCCAAAGAGTGAACAATTTCACACTTCCACCAGCAATGTTTGAGAGATCTGGATGCTCAACTTTCTTGCCAACCAACATATGGTGCTGTCAGTATTTTTAATTTTAGCCATTTTGGTGGATGTATAGTAGTGTCTCATTGGGATTTCATTTTACATTTCCCTGATAAGAAATAATGTTGAGTGCTTTTTAATGCTTTTATTATACATTTGTATGTCTTCATTTGTGAAATGCCTATTAAGATCTTTTATGCATCCTAAAAATTGGATTGTTTCCTTTTATATTGACTTTTCTAAGTTGTTTATTCTAGATAAATGTTTCGTCAACTATATGTATTACAAATATTTTTACAATATAATGTTTATCTTCTCATTTTCTTAACAATGTTTCTTAATGAGGGGATGTTTTAATTTTGATAAAGTAAAATTGATCAGCTTTTAATTATGGTTAATGCTTGCTATGTTATAAGGAATCATTACCCACCCTATAATCTCATGTTTTCTTCTAGTGTTTTATAGATTTTGCTTTAAGTTTAGGAGTAAGAATCTTCTAGAATTTTAATGTTTGCATCATGTGAAGTAGTTTTTTAGGTTCTTGCCTTTCCTTCTCTCTCTCTCTCTCTCTTCCTTCCCCCTATCCCATATAACTATGCCATAGTTCCCAAATATTTTTGGAATGTTTGTTTGTTTGTTTTTCTGCAGAATTACTTTGACACTTTAAAATCAAATTAGCAAACACTCTTCCATTAGTCTATGTGTGTTTCTCTATATAATACCACATTGCCTAGATTACTTTTCTGGAAACAATATGGGTTAAATCCTCCATATTTTTTCTTTCTTGAGATTACTTGGGTTATATAAGGTCCATTTGCATTTCTGCATAAGTTTTAGTTATAGTTTATCAATTTCTACAAAATGACCACTGCAATTTTTTTATCTGAAATTCCATTGACTCCATAGAAACATTTTGTGGTGAGCAGGCATCTTGACATTGATTTTTAGCCCATGAACATTTATTTAGATCACCTTGAATTTATCTCAGCAATGTTTTGTAGTCTCCTGTGTACAACTATTGCACAGCTTTTGTTAAAGTTAATCTATTTATATCCATGGGCTTTGGTTCTATGAAATATAGTAAATTTTATTTTTTTTAAATTTTAAGATATGCTTAGATTTGCAAGTGAATTTAATATACACATATCCCCAATTTTCAAAAGTTTGTATTACAACACTTAGCTTTTACTAAAAGCCTACATTAGTACTTTCTTAAGTGAAGGAAAAAAAAAATTCAAAAAGGATTTCACATTTACAACAATACACAAAAGGAGATAGCTTTCAGAGTTTGTTTTGCAGGAAACCATTTAAGAGAAAACGCACAACTTGAACATCAAGAGGGGCACCTCCAAGCTCCTTCCCCCAATTACCTTCAACATTAGGTCGCCATTGCTGTGAATTGTGTCTATGCTTTATCTTGATTTATTTTGCACATATATTAGCTAGATGTGTCCTAAGGTATCAGAAAAGCCTGAGGGAACTCATGAGAGTGTTACTATAGGCATTAGCTAATGGCTGGGAGTGAAGTCTTCCCAGAAATGAATGCAAAGCACTTGTGAAAGAATTTCATTGTAAGTGACACTGCTGTGTGGATATCAGAAAACTGTGACTTTAATTTTGAAAGACCAGACCACAATGGTTTAGGGCAGTTATGCAGGATGTTTTGAATGCCTACAAAAAACTGTATGATAGAAAAATACAGGAGTCTAAACAGCCAGGCATGCTGCTGTCCTTCATATCTTCCACACCGGCCACAGCAGATGATGAACTTCAACCTTCAACCTGGAGGCAGGGAGACATAGAGGAAGGTGTAGACATTAGTGAAATGCCTGCGCTGATAGAATTTGATGATAAGATCTTAAGAGATGACACTTTTCTGCTCTCTCTTAGATCCTACTATTCTGCATCTTCCCCTATCTCGGCTACCAACAACTCGGTCTAACACCATCATTGTCACCTCTCATCTTTCTAGTGTGTACACACACCGTATCCCCACTCTGGTAAGTGAAACTGCTCTCAACATCCATTATTTCTACTTTTATGGATTGTGTGTTTTGCATTTATCCTATCACTACTGCTTTTACCCTATGTTAGTGTTACTTTAGCTTTTATACATTATCTTGTATGATTCGGTTGAGTCTGGGAACACTCGAATATTTTTCCATGTAAATTAATGGTAATTGTTTCTTTGCTCTATGTCATTTCAGTTTAGAAAAACTTTCATAAGTATGTTATCCTTTTGGATAGGGTATTTTGTAACTATGCCAAATGTGTGTTTTGTGACTATGCCAATTTACTTATTAGTTCTTAGAGTTATTTTAACTGACTCCTTAACATTTTCTACATATAATATCAGTTTTCTGTGATTAAAGCACTATTTCATGTATTTCATTTTATCTTTCAAATCTTTATGCATTTTATTTATATTCCCATCTTTTTGAATGTGCTCACCTAGTAAAATATTGAATAGAAGTGGTGAGAAGTTAACTTCTTTTACCACTCTTGATCTTAAAAGGCAATCAGTCTTGCACCATTAACTATTAAATTTGCCATGGTTTTGCATAGATGCCCTTTATCAGGTAGAGGAAGTTCATTTCTATTTTAGTGTCATGATAGTTTTTTTTAATATTATAAAGAGATATTTAAGTTTTCCAGTATTTTTCTGCAACTATTGAGACTATTGAGATGACATGTTTTTTTTTTTTCTTGCTTGTTTAATGTGGTATGTAGTTTTTGAATCTTATTCAAACTAAGCATTTCTAGCATTAACTTATGTTATACATAACATAACATTATGTATAACGTTATAAATATTTCTGGATTCAACTTGATAGTTATTAATTTTTATGCAGGTTCAGCAGGGATAGTTTTGTATAATTTTGTTTCTTATAACAATGTCTGTGTTGAATCAGAGTTATGTTGACCACAAAATAAGTAAGTTGGGAAGTAGTCTCTTTTTCTGTAATTTCTTAAAAGCTTAGTTTCTTTAAATCTTCAAGTTCGCTGATCTTTTTCTTCTGTTATTTTATTAGTTTTTCAGCATTTCTATTTATAGCCACATGATATATTTTATTGTATATTATTCAATTCTTTAATTTGTTCTTCTGATATATTCATAGTTTTCTTTATATACTTGAACATTGGGTTTTATTAGATGACATCAAAACTAGTGCTATGTTCTAGGGCTAGAGAATTATGATAATGAACCAACCATAACTAACTTAGTGAACTCAGTAGTGAATCTTTCACAGGTTATTTGACAGAAAATGTTGGTAACTGGAATCATTATCACATATGGACTATAAGGATCATATGTCATTGGATTTATTGTTTGAACTTTACCATGGAAAAGCAGTATAAAAGTTTGGAAGACAAAAAAACTCATGTTTTTTTATATATACTTTTAGATGGATTTCCCTCCAAAATTAGAACAGTATCTAGTTTAGATAGTTTATTGTATAAACATTTGACATCACAATAATTTTAGCATAGCTTATCTATTTAATGGTGCTTTCTGCAGGATGACCAGAATTATACGAGGCCCAGAAATTATTTAGAGAAGTGAAAGTGGACTTCTCTGCTTTCATTATTATGTATTTCTCTTAGAGAAAAGCAGTTGTCCTTTGTCCATGAATTTAATTCCACATGCTGCATTCTAAGATTTATATCTTGCAAATGCTCCCTTCTCATTGCTATTCCTCCACATGTACAAAGGAGTAAGTAGTGTTATTTATAATATTTTCTTGCAAATTGGCTTCTTAAGGCAGAATGATCGTTCCTCAAAACAGGACCAGTATATTTAAACCTACGCATTCTGCATCTAATGTAGATTTTCAGAGTACTATGATGTTCAAGTATGTTGTACAAAATAAAGAATGTAAAGCTTTGGTGTCAAATAGGTCTGTATTCTAATCGTGTCATGAGGATTACACATTTTGTGACTTGAAGCAATTTATTTTACCTGTTTCAAACTTAGTTCACACTGTAAAAGTGGAATCATGAGAATACCTATATTATAGGATTCTTTTGCGAGATAAATGTAATTGAAGCATTTAGCAGAGCCCCAGGGACTTGCTGAACATTGAACAGATGTTTACTTTTTTTCATATATTAACACAAATATATACGATGAGATAAAAATGGGTTAAATTGAGAAAATATTTATATATATATGTATGTGTGTGTGTGTATTTGTACACTTATATTCAAGAGCAAATCATGGTCTCAAGCACCCACATTGTTTTAACTTCTATGTCACCTTCACTGGGCCAGAGGGTCAGATATTCTGGGTGTGTCTGTGAGGGTATTTCCCAATGAGACTAATACCTGAATCAGTAAACTGAGTAAGGCAGACTGCCCTCCCTGATATGGGAGCTTATCCAATTCCTTAAAGACCCATGGTAATGCCTTCCTTGCCTGCAGCTCCAATGAAACAATCCCATGAGAAATATAGCTTCAGTTCAACAGACACGTGCCGTGTGCTAACCACTCGATCTGCATCCCTCACATTTTACACAGTAACGGAGTAGAACAAAAAAAGTCTGAGAAAGAGGTAACTTCTCCAGGCACTCACTTGATGGGGACATGTCCCTTCCTACCGTTGGACCTGAACTGAAAAACCTATTTGTTTTGGGATACAAGTCAACTGAGTTGAAATGAAACTCTATCTACAGCTCTCTGGGTCTTTAGTTTGCTGACTGCAGGTTTTGGGACTTCTGAGCATCTGAATGACAGGAATCCCTTTTTATTATGACAACACTCTTTCTCTCTCTAAATATCCTACTGGTTCTGTTTTCTCTGGAGAATCCTAACTACTTCACTAAGACTCTGCAACTTTGGCCATTTACTAAAGTTCTCATAGATCACAATATAGGAAAAGAGGAATTTTCTGCATTTCTGGGTACCAACAACTCATAAATTCCAGGCCTGTGTCCTGATGTTTGCTGTGATTCTTACCTTAGTGCTGTTTCCTGAAAATAAAAAGTATAATGACATATTTATTTACATATACTGAGTAGTCATGGAGTAAATAGCCTGGGGGGGCGGGTGGATAAAACTGCACCAAGAAACAATTACTTCTCTATTCCAGAGAACCACAAGATGAATTTATAATGTGAACGGTAGGGGGTCAGCCCATCTCTGGCTTGAAATGTGTTTGCCTTGGATCCTTACTCAGCCTTTTATGATATCAAACTGTCTTAGTCACCTTTAAAAACAAAGTAGAGAACATTTTAAAGGCAGTAAGGTGAAAGGCCAAGTTCAATTATTCCTCAGACACATTCAAACTGTCCATCGACAGGCAGTTAGCACTTTCGAGCGTGGTACAGATTCCCAGGGAATCGGTGTCGTACTGAATCTGATGCAGAGAAATGCAAGTTGAAAGCAAACATGAAATGCCATGATAATAAATGACAACTACTTTCTTTAAAAGAAAATTTTTGAGATCTGCTATTCTGATGATGGAAAGATAAATTTATGCTGTCTGATATATTTCTTATATCAACTAATGGCCCAGGTACTGATCTGAGCTCCAGCCTGATCTGAGCCCCAGCCTGGAAATGAGGTATGCTCTGCCCGATGTATGCTCTGCCCAAACAGAACATTTATTTGTAGAGTTTATCTCATCTATCTCCTCCTTATGTTAAAGCTACAAATAGTCATTGAGTCCCATCTATTTACCAAACATTGTTTTAAGTGTGTTAAGGATGTAAATGTGATCAAGATATAATCCCCTCTCTCAAAGCAGCTTACAATTCACTGGAACATTTTAACAAGCATTTATTGATCACTCTTACAGGCCAGGTTGTGTTCTAGGTGAAAGGTATACATAGACATAGATGACACTTTTGAGAAATACTGCTTTTGAGCAATATTGACCCACTAAGGAAGATACCACAAATTTAATAATTTGTGCAAAATACAGCTATATACAAGCAATCCAGAGTGAAGAATGAATAATTAAGTCTGAACAATTAAAGTCTGAAAGAGGAAAAAGACTAGATTACAAATAAAATATGAGCATGAGAGAATGGGGAGATGGGTAACCCTGAGTCCAATACCTTTTAAAATTCACATTAAAAAGAAAAAGCATACCGTGTACAGGGAAAGAAAAATCGCTTGAATTCAATCCCAGCAAGGAGGGTATTGGCCAGCTTCCAAGGATCTAGTTAGCCCACATACAAGATCTTCTAACTCCAAATCTGGAAAATGTTTTCTTCCAAGCTCCTTCAGCATGGATAACCTTTTTGTTATGATTTGTCTCTTATAAACCACTGTTCCTTCATAAATTCTTAGTCTCAAGACTGCCTATGACCTTGCTTGGAATTTGATTGCAAAGACCATGGCAAATATGTCTTCTGCAGTCACCACAAGATTTTTATACCAAATGAACAGGATAGATACCTGTTGAGTGACAAAGACAAGTTTTCCTCCATGATATAAACATTTCAAAGCCCACCTTCTTGGCAGTGATGACATACACATTTAAAGCCCACCCTTCCTACCCTCCATGCTATGAAAATATCTCAGGGCTTTTTCATCCTGATCCAAGGCTCTGCAGTCCACTGTGATGGTGTGTGTGACCATTAGAACCATAAAGGTCCTATTTAAGAAGTAATTTGCTATTCAGTTCTAAGAAAAGAGCATTTCCTTAGAACATAAAAGAAACAGAGTACCTTCTAAATGGAGAATATATAAAAGATGATTTTTGAGTACTCATTATTCTTTAGCCAAATTCAAAAATAATAAAATGTGGATGTGCATAATAAGTAGAGATAGGAATAAATTGGAGACATTCCTGTCCTAAGTGATTGTTAGGAGTTACAAGAGTTCTCGGAGCTTAGTTTGCTTCCAGTAAAATAGGGTATATAAAATTATGCACCAAAAGAAGACTCCTATTTCCTGGTTTCAGCTTATGTAAGATTTATAGACACTTGAAATAAATGTAAAAAGCATGTAAATATAGCTTGGAGGTGTAAGACAAGAGATAATATAAAGAACC